AGAATTTGTGACTTGGACCCTTCCTAGCGTTGTTGCCGTAGGCATGCAGCTCAAACGGGGTGTATCGTATCTACCTCATCATATCTGTGGTATGCGGCTGGATAAACGCCTGAGTGGAAGAGAAAACCCACGACTACATCAAGCGTGTTTGATTGGGCTGCTACAGGATCGTGATTTTTTTCCAGCACTGAAGCATCTCACCCACAGGCACAAGATGAATGGTTGACAAGGTAAGTCTGAGACTTGCACTTTCAAATACCGTTTGGAAAGGTTACAGGTCACCGTCAAAAACTAAAAACAAACTTGAGAATATGTCAAGGGGGGGGAATGTGCAACAAATGGAAGGTCAATGTTTGTGAATCAGCAAGTCTTGTTAATTATAAAAGGTCAATGTCAAACTCCAGATCAGTTTTTCTTCGCCAAAGGACTACAACAAAATTTAACAATTAAAAACTTGGAGGTCAGAAATGTCTCAAAATAACTACAGAGATTTTTTTCTTCGGCTATCCATTTCTGTTTAAAATGTCGTTTTTCATATATTCTCCCGCAGTCAAACATGACCCCAGTGTAGACAACAGGAATGAGTCTGCTGATTGAATAATGTCTGCAGGCTACATGTAAAAGACTTACCCTCATGTTTAACACCGAAATATGTGGCATTCGAACATCACAGGTGTCGTATCCAAGACAACACTCACAAAATATACACAAACACAAGCACAAGGCCAGCCAAGCACAAACATAAAACAGTTATCTAGTTCAACTGTAGAGCATGTGGCACATGCACTGTACCATGCCCCCTTGGGATCCCCCCCACCCTCCTTAGCGAAGCCAACTAAAATGTTTGTAAGAGGAACAAAAACAATTTAACAATAAAAATGAGTCTCATGAGGAGAGCTCGCGGTCAAACACGTTTTAGTGGTTCTTAATCTCAAGGATGCAGCTATTGCATACTTTTAGAATCAAGTATTCCACCGATTGCTCCATCGATGAAAAATATTAAAAAAAAAAAAGAATCTGCATTATCAAACACAAAGAAAGTGCATGTGAGGAGCAGTTAGTTTTGTCCACTTGGTCGCCATCCTCACGTTCTACTGTATTATCTGTGACTTTCAGTGTGTCTTGGGGCTGCCACGATTAGCCGACTAGTCACAATGACATTGACAATCAAAATCGTCGACAATAAAATTAATAGCCCATATGCACTGCATTCTTTCTTTTACAGTGGACTCTTTCCTCCTGGTTCGCTGCCATCGAGCTGATGTATTTTTACACAGAGTAGTGGGAGTAGTACATTAGTCCGTGTGGAAATCTGATTCCTGCAAAGCTTTGAGGGAGGGATTTTCCCTCCATCTTTTATGTCATTGAATTTTTTGAGCTTTTCCATTCATCATTTTTAGCGCAACTTATTTCGATTCCTTGAGTTCCGGTTTCTTAAACATCAGCATCCCACAAGTTCTCGAACATCCTTTTGCAGCACCCAATGAGATTGGGATTGTTATATCAGAGTACGATGTGATGGAAATGTACTGACCTCCATTGAAAGACATGGCTCATCCATAACAGATGAGGATTTGAGCTGGTTCCTATCATCATCACTTGCCTGATAAGATTAGAAACACATTTTCCGCGCACGAGTTGTAAACGCTTTTTTTGGGGAGATGCATTCCTCATCTGTGGTTATTTAGTTTGCTGGGGGCCGGTTGTGACCACAAAATGCTTTGCGTGCTTAACTCCATGCGCTGTTTTCACCAGATGTGTTTCTTGTTTGTAAATGACTCATTTTCTTTTTCATGGAGCAGAGACAATCTGCAACGAATAATGGTCAACATACCAGCGCAGAACACAGCCAAAATGCAAATTGCTGAGTGGGTCCGCTAAACACTATGGTTCATCTTCATAAAGCTTCAAAGATGGATTCATGTCATTTGGCACCACTCAACCAAACACTGTCACACACGAACAAATAGTAGGAAGGAAGAATTTATGGACGAAACCTTTCTGTCCGAGACCCTTGGACTTGCTGCGAAACAATGATGAGACCACACGAATCCCATTCTGCCAGTTATCTATGCATTTCATTGTGTTCATGTACATTCTGCTTAATTTCAAAAAATGGGAGCAGGTGCACCATTGACTGAATTATTTTGAAAACACGTGCTCCTAGCTTATAACAAGTAGGAACAAATCAAATGCTCTCTGTGTGGCCTTCAGATTACAGCACAGTGAAGATGAAATGCCAAAGTCACCCTGCTGAAACAGAAAACAAAATAAATGAACACGCTCACAAGGATGCAAAAACAACGTGCAGATCCTCAAGTGACATCTGGAAACGCTAAACTAAATAGATTTTGTCAAACATGTGGCCGTGTTACTATATTTAAATGTGACGAAACCTCCACATGATACTTGAGAGATGATTCTCAGAAAGGACAGCCAACATGGTTTATCACCCAGAGCGACTTGAAGGCCAGTGTTGCACTTTGAAGTTTGACGAAATAAATCCAAACCTAAAATGAATTCAATTAATTTAAGTGGAAATCTGCATATTTTCAAGGAAATCACAGATTCTGCCCCAAGACTACATAACACGCTGACACTGCTTGCTGCAAATCATGTTCTGATTTGGAACTCCACTTTAGGGCTCATGTCGTGACAAATCCATCGCACCCGGCAAATTACGAAGTTTCTTGAGACACGTTGTCAACTCCGGTCAAGCCAGCCAGGCTACAGCCCTTCCGCTCCCACGGAGAAAGCCAGGCAGGTGACACGCTCTACTGGTGGTCTTTTCAGGAAGCAGCCTTGTCTTTTTTTTTTACTCACTTTATTTTGTAGTTAACACATAGGAAAGTAACATGGCATCTTGTCAAACTCTATCTTCTTCTTTCTTTCAAAGCTATTTTTTGTAAAACAGCCCCCTAGTGTTCAGACTGAGACACCGTGTAACGCAAACTCCTTGTGTTACAGGCTCCATTCAGTGAAATGTGTTTTTGAACAATAATCGAATAAAACGATTGCAGGACAAAACTGCATTATCAAATATCAGTAAGACCTCAAAATGTAATTGTACTCTTAATCGGTTTAAAAAGAGTGGTATCGGTCCTTCCCTTAATATCTTATCAGAGAGTCATCAACAATGAACTCATAATCGGACCTCCACATACTTTTTGCCTTAGATTGAAAGACCCTGCAGGCTGCTGACCTCACCCACTCACAATTTGCCTATTTGCGTTTAAATAACCGTCACTTGACCTCAAGTGCATGTAATTCCCACTGCAGGAAAAAGGCCCGTGGTATCCCTTTGACAACATTCACACAGAATTCTGCTAGAGCTATATTAATTGTGGGCATGGGCGCAGATATATTAATTTTAACATTAATTCTTACAAGCTTGTTCCCCCCGTCAAAGCCCAGTACCAAAATCCCACCTGCGCCGCTGATTGTGGACCATCTCTTATATCAGCGACTGAAGGCTCCGTTCGGGCAAAACAGCGTATGGCTACAATTAGCCTCATCAAGTGAAATTCTAAAGAATGCTTGATGGTTTGCTCTCTTGGCTTAGATGACGGACTCATATTATGCAACTCGCTGGCCTTGACACCTGCTGTTCTTCTCGACATCACTTAGCTCTTGAACCTAACACCTCAGGTTGTGATCTCTGACATTCCCCAAACTCAAAACACCCGGCGCATAAGACATGGTGGGGTAGGGGCGGGGTTAGGAACAGAGAGCAACAAAGCTCCAGACAGGAGTAAGTCGTCGGAACCTGAACCGGCTCTATTGCTTATTTTAACATTGCGATTACTATATTATTGATCTGTTGCTTTGGCACAGTCGTCTCTTTCAAGACCAAATAGTATAAAAGTGAAATGTCATACTTCAGAGGTTTTCTGCGGTTTTGATTAGCGTATTGGCTCCAACTGTACTCACAAATGTTGACTATGTTGCGAAAAAAACAAAAGTCTTCAGCCTCTTATAAGAGCTTCAGCCTATTTTCCCTTTCAGACGTGTACACTATGATTTCTGAGAAAATGGCCAAGGGTGAAAATATGTCTGGATAAAATAATAAACTGAAACAAAACCAGAGTGAAACAGAAACTGTCGCTTCTGAAACCCTAAACAGGGGGCAAGCTTTTACACTGTCTCTCCACTAGGGCTTTTTACATTGACATTTACAGAGTTGTCACCCCTTTGTTCTCTAAGTACAAGCAACTAAGTGTACATACCAAAGTGTTTGAGTAAATTAAACAAAACCACATTGTGGCTCTTAATATAAAGAATTACCAAAAACCAAAACACTGCAACAGTATATCATGATCAGTACTTCCAAGAGCTGTACTGGGATCAGAAGTCATCATGTGGTTTTCGCTCCTTCACTGCCAAGACCACTGAGCTTACCAATGTGCTGCAGCCAAGACAAATGAACAAAATTGATATACTGCAAGACAGACACTGACATCCTTTGCACAAAGAAAGTTTACAGATATTCTGTGAGAAAGATTGAGAGGTTTTTTTTTGTCCACTCAAATAAGCAGTTATACATTGCTCCAATGGAATGTGTTTGCAAGATGGGTAATAGACCCCCTGTCACAGACCCCCAATGGCCTTCCAGAGATGGAAGAAGCTACTAAGAAAAGCTTAATATCACCAAAGACAAGACCAAGAGGGTCAATTATTCAAAAAATTTGAAGCGCTTGCTAATTACTGAGCACAGGAAGTGCTTTTGAGTAAACAGTTCATGATGAATGAGGCAGGAAATTCCATTGTCCATTCGATGTGAATTCACTGGAAGTGGGTTGGTCTCACCGATGGAGAAATGACAATTCAAATAGTCCCATAACCAATGTAAAATCATGCACAAGCTCGCTTATTATTCCCTAAGCATTTAACAGAGCTGATTATGGCGTTGACATAAATCTTGCAAATTCATTCAATCATCAGACAATACCCCGCTTCCCCCCCAAAAAAATTCCATTAGTTTTTACGGAATTATTACTCACCATTTCCACCCCTTGAGGGAAGGCTGTCCCATCCCAATCCTTCTTGGGGAATCGCTGAAGAATCTTCCCACATCCCTCTCCAGAACCTGCCAATTAAAATGGACAAAGAGAGCGGCATAATATTAAAGAGAACAATAAATAATATCAATCTGACAAGATAATGTTCAGTACATCATATGACGCTAAAGCGGCAAATTAAATATGTTTTTCCAATGTACAACAACCCGAAGATTCATCATATTCCAAACGGAATAATGGCTGGTCAATTAATTCAATTTCCCATGTAGACATCAAATTGGTGCTACGTAAAAGATAAAACCCATCACTGCATTTTCCATTTCTTTAATTTAAAAGAAAAATATTTTGCTAATTTATTTCTCTGCAGTAAAGGAAACAGTACGAAAATTCTGCATCATGATTATCATCATTATCTTTATAGTGCCAATAGAAATATATCAAATGAATGCACCGAAAGCACTATGACACATATTATTTTAAATATAAACAAATAGAAAATATTTACTATTTGAGATTAGAAATGACACACTGCACAACATTCTGATCTATCAGTTCATGTTCCTCGTTGCGTCCATTCAAAGATGTAATTTTCCAGGGCAAATTTGGATTCTGATTTTTATGCACAGCTGATTGTCTGAATCTTAAAATACAAATGACAGAACTAACCTTTTTGAGTAACTCTCAGAACCTGTGTTGATGTGCTCAAACAGACACTTGCAAAGTCATGCAAAACTTCCACAACGCTCAGATATAATTCCCCCTATTACTGGTACATGCCTTTTTACATAGGCTTAAACGACACTGCCCCAAACTTCAGTTGGCATCCTCTTTGTCCAGTGTCACGTGACTCCATAAAGTTGAACTCAAACCAACCCCTTAAGTCAGACGGCCAAACAAAAAACTGACCAACGCATGTGGAGAAACTTCTTCCTACTATCATCACCCCAGTCTTTGTTGCAGGTCAGTCTGTGCCAAATTAAACTCTGTGTCTTGGCGATTACGCAGAGTGACACTACTTATGGGCGACATTTTGGCGCTTGCCTAATCCACACCAGAGATGGAATTTATTTTTTTACAAGACATTCGATGAATCAGGCCGAACTGTTGTTCAACCCGAATCAATAAAACTAATAAAGGTTTTCTTATCTTATCTTAAAAGGCCCTAATGTTGCTCTCTATTTCTTGCACACAAAGCGCATAATTAAGAACATAGAAAAAGGCGTGTCAAAATGCCCCATTACTTGCAACAAGACAACACAACCACACAAAAGGCTTTTGTTTGCTTTGCTGTTACACAACATGTCAACATGAGTTTGGTTTTGTACCCCTTGCATGTTTCCGTAATAAATCCATTTCATAGGGTTTGTTCAGCCTTCTTGTAAAAGTACTGGAGCAGTGAGGCCATTTCCTTCATTTTTGCATTACAACGGTAACAGTCATCAATCCATTATCTGAATCGCTTTATCCTGTACGTGCTGGAGCCTTTCGCAGCTGACATTTGACGTCAAAAATATGTAAAAAGAGACGTTGTTTTGCACACTCTGTAACAATGGTGGGCAGTCCATCAGTACTGAGAGGAAGTTGCGTTTTGCTGGCGGATTGACAACTGACGGAAAAATTGAAATACTGACGGAGTTATGTGCTGAGGAAGAGTTTTTCCGCGCATGTTTCCGTAATAAATCCATTTCATAGGGTTTGTTCAGCCTTCTTGTAAAAGTACTGGAGCAGTGAGGCCATTTCCTTCATTTTTGCATTACAACGGTAACAGTCATCAATCCATTATCTGAATCGCTTTATCCTGTACGTGCTGGAGCCTTTCGCAGCTGACATTTGACGTCAAAAATATGTAAAAAGAGACGTTGTTTTGCACACTCTGTAACAATGGTGGGCAGTCCATCAGTACTGAGAGGAAGTTGCGTTTTGCTGGCGGATTGACAACTGACGGAAAAATTGAAATACTGACGGAGTTATGTGCTGAGGAAGAGTTTTTCCGCCGTCACCCAGTCACAAACATGAGGGGGAAAAAAAAAAAAAAAAGACTCCCTTAGGCAAATAATGTTTTGCACCACAAGGCGCACTGGCACGTTCGCCCCGTCCACACGACAGACATTTCTGCGTGACCGCGCGCCGTCCTATCAGTTTTAACTTTAACACAATATTAGTAGTTGTTTTTATATTACAGTTGTGTGACAGTTGATGTTGAAGTAAACAGTTTTAGAGGTAAAAAAATAAATAAAAAAATTAAATGCATTAGTTGCATCAGCAAAATGTTTACTATCGCACCTCATTAATCATTAACTCATTCACTGTAAAATCCTCCTTTACCTTGCATTGGGGAGATTTTATATATATAAAGAGGGCACAAATGATGACTGTTGGCTTTTGGCTCTGTATTTCATATGCATAGCTTAAACACATAGAAGCTGGAGCATCTTGATGCTAGCGTGTGTGCGGGAATAGTAGTCATGCTAGTCAGAGAGGAATCTGCATGACAGTGCTGTTGTATTTGGGATTTTCCAGTTCCCCTAATTGAAATCGTATGTTCGGAATGCAGTGAGTTCTAATTTTCGAGCGAGGATGATAATAAATGACGGAATTCCTCACATTCCATGAGGCGACTCTCTCGTATTAAAACAAGCTGCAGTCTCCAAAGCCATCTCCCTGATATAAAAAGAACATCAGAAAGAAGAACAGAAGCCAAGCTGAGAAGACATGCTATTTTTAACATCCGCTCACAGGATGCCTGGTTGAACTCTTTAAAAGAAAAAAAAGAAAAGCTATTTAAGCAGAAGTTATTCTGAAGAGCAAACAACCGGAGAACTTCATCTGTGACATCATCACGACCAGCATCTGACATGTTCTGACTTGTCTGAATACAACATGATGGGAGAGGTGAGCGTCGAGTGTTAACAATGAAACTTCTGCCGATGCTGATAGCGATCATATGGATTAGCTTACCTTTTTTCAATTGTGGCGCTGCTCACTCACAATTATTTGAATAATCGATTAATCTGTCAATTATTATTTTTTCAATAATTGATGAATGATTTAAAAAAAACATTGTATCAAAATGTCCCTCCTTTTTTAATCTAAAAACAAATTGACAGTGTAGAAAATGCACAAACATTATGTTTCCGTTATGGTAAAGAACAGTGTCATCATACAGTATACCAATCACACACAGCCCATTTTCCATTTGTAGAATGTCTAGCAGCATCTTGGGAAGAATTGTTAAGGTTTAATTGTTATTATATTTTCACAATACAGTACATTTCAATATTGGCTATTCGTTGCCTGGTCTGGCCCCAATAAGCCCGTTGCAGATGTTTCCCCTCTTCCCACATAACTGATTCAAATGATCAGGATCGTTATCAGGCTGCCGCAACGCTTGCTGATCTTTTGAATCAGGTGTGTTGGAGGAGGGAGACATCTAAAACAGGCTGGATAGGGGCTCTCGAGGGCCGGACTTGGGCACCCGTGTTCGAGATGACGACTCTCGCTGTTCATTTTTTAAAAACTGTATTCCACACAGAAGTGGGCTTTTTCGAAAGGCATTCACATAGGCCTAGCACTTGTTTGTACCCCTAATATTCAAACAAAAATGTACAGAAATGATCCCTTTGCCCATTTGGAACATTTTATTTGTATTATAAAGAGTACTTATTGTACTGAGAGGTTCAAATGTAGACACAAAACTTGTACATTGGAGAACAAAAATGGACCCCTAAAGTACCCTTTTTTTTTTGACTGTGTACTAACAGCTTCACACAACATGTGCAAGAAGACAAAATAAAACTTTCTGTGTGCTAAATGCAAATGTAAAGGGAGCGCTGGCATATTTCAATTAGAAAATATGTTAGAGAGAGAGAGAGAGATAGAGAGAGATAGAGAGAGAGAGAGAGAGAGAGAGAGAGAGAGAGAGAGAGAGAGAGAGAGAGAGAGAGAGAGAGAGAGAGAGAGAGAGAGAGAGAGAGAGAGAGAGAGAGAGAGAGAGAGAGAGAGAGAGAGAGAGAGAGAGAGAGAGAGAGAGAGAGAGAGAGAGAGAGAGAGAGAGAGAGAGAGAGAGAGAGAGAGAGAGAGAGAGAGAGAGAGAGAGAGAGAGAGAGAGAGAGAGAGAGAGAGAGGGAGGTGGGTTTTTCTTTTTTTGTTTTGTTTTTGTCACAGATATTGCTGTAGAAGTGCTCGGGAAATGGTTGAGTTTTAAAATTGTGTCCTTTCAGATATGGGCAAAAAATGTATTCTGTTTTTTCATGTGGCCAATTGTCCAAAATTGAACAACACAAATGACAAAACTTGAGCTTTTTTTTTTAAGGCATCTTCAGAAACTCTGCTGATTTGGACAAAAGAAAACATGCCAATGTCTTGACAAATTGCCGAACTTCCCCAATGCTCAGATGTAGTTACATCCCCAGGTGTAATTGCAGTCCGTATTTCCTCTTTCTGAGGCTGAATGGCAACATATCAACATATTCTCAATCTGACCTTTTGTTTCATTTTATCGCATGCCTAATAAATGTCATATTTGATTAAATGGTTGTAGAGTCAAATGTTCCCTGCCCTGAATTTGAATTTGATTTGCATTGTCAAAGAAAAACAAGGATCTGACTGTGTTCAATCTTATTAACCAGGTGGTAATAGTTGTCAGTGGAGAACTGGAAATTCCCTCAGTCGGCAATCAGTTTTAAACTTTACTACTTTGAAGGAAGGAACTCTTCCATCGTGGCGAAGGCCACTTCACTGCCCAGTCTGAATCCGACAATAAATTGCCAAATGTGAAAAGAAAACAAAGGGAGCAAAACCAAAATGTGCTCAATGAAGAACAATGTTTATACAATCGTACACAGAACTGGAAAGCGCTGTTCATTGAGAAATGTAAAAGGACAAAACAAAAGCATCGTATTCAAACGGCATCAGTGAACAGCGTTTCCAGTCCTGTCAAACCATTATTTCAACATTTATTTGTCTTTTCCTTATAAATCAAATCAAATGATGGGATTCAAATAATCTATTTTCAAACCACTACACGTGGGAGCACTTGAAGAACTCCAAATCTCCTGCTGATAAACTAGACTGATAAATGTGATCAAATCCAAATCTCAAATTTCTGAAATGGTTTTGAATCCAGAGCCTCAGACAATGTTTAAATCTGTCAAATACAACCTTTGATTGATTTTACAAAATTGACACTTTGTCATAGGGCTGTCACTATTTTAGATTTTAAAAGTTGCTTATTCTATTGATTATTCAATTGATCGGCTTAAAACGTATATTGAATCAAAATGCATTACAAAATATTTTTTCTAGATTATTTAAATTATTGTTTTTTTTCATCTGGTATTGTGTAATGATTACATAAAACCAAATAAACAACAATTATCACACGAGAGGGAGGATGTTGTACTCACCAATGTTCTTGAAACTGAGAGCTATATATGTCGCACCAATGGACAACTCAAAGCTTCTTTGACCTAGCCAATGTTCGAAATCAGAGAACCCAAGATGCCCACATAATCATTCTAATGTCATTATACAAGTGTGAATACACAGTACTCACAGACAAAAAATTGACATAAGGTCAAAAGCATTTTTTTTTAACAAAAGCACTCATTTGTGGGTGTGCAGAGTGTGCCAGCAGCACAAAGCAAACCCTCTTTGAGTTTTTGCAACAAAGATCCAATTCATGATGCTTTCAGACGATAAAGACTTGGGAACAACTTGTTGTCAGTTCATGTGAGGCATTTATTAACCTTTTCATGATTGCACGTTGGAACTGATTCAGCTCAATAATTCTGTCAAAACAAACTATGGGGCAAATTGGCTTGCGGGCAAACTTATTTCCCCTTGATGGCAACGTGGTACGTAAGAAATCCCCCGATTCAGACCAGAGGACACCAGATCGGAAAGACACATGAAATAGACAACACTGTGTGCTAACATTTCATTTTCCATCCATCAATCCATTGTCTCAACATCACATATCCTGTTCAGGGTGCTATCTCTGCTGATTTGGAGAGAAACCCTGCATTGGTCACCAGTCAAGCACAAGGGCATGCGTCGCGACAGAAATTCATTTGGGCTGTCACCGAGCCGAACCTAAACCCAACTGGCCGGCATGCAAGTCAGGCCAATGAATCACTTAAAAAAGGATCAAGATTTGATTTCATTCAAAAAGATATTTCTTTAAACTAGCATGTTTGCATACTGTATTGACTTTTTTTTTAAACTGCACTTCTTCACCTTGCAGTACTTGTGAGTGCACTTTTTCCTCATGCAAGAGTTTGTGGACTCTGAGAAGAGGCCTTTATTTTGCAAGTTTTAATAAACAAATTATTTAACATGATAATACAATACAATACATGCTGATTTATATAGCGCTTTCACAACAGCGGCAGCTGTAACAAAGCGCTTAACAAAACAGTTAACATAAAGTAAAATAATATAGTCATATTCTTATTGAAACTCTTAACTGAAAGTATATTTCCTATAAAAGAAAGTGAGTCCGTTGAATTTACAGAATACAAGCACGTCATTGCACCTGGTCAGGATGGTACCACCTCTGCCTCAATTTGAGCCAGGAAAAACCCTACATAGCGTTCTACCCTTTTACAGAGCCTGTTAATGATGAGATTTTTCTGGTCAATGAGGATATTGATTGATTAGAAGTGTGACGTGCTTGTGCTTCCAGAAACCAGAATATATATTACCCACATATGCCCCAAAGGCTCCAGAACCGTAAAACTGACTTGAACTACGCATAATTATCCATGTCAGGCAAGCCATAAAAAGATGACTGGATGTTTGCATCACACCTGTTTGGAAACAAGTGCATCTGCTTACCATCACAATGTCCAACAGTCTTGTGGATAAAAATACCCTAGATTAAAAAAATAATCCCCTCCCTCTCTGAGCGTCACTCTATTCAGACTCCTTTAATGACGCCAAGAACATTTTGTCCCACGAGTGTATAAAAAAATCATTTGTCAGTGGTGATGGCATCCACAGAACTGATCAAAGTCACTGTTCAGCTATTGTGCATAACAGGCACGCTCTGGTGGCAAAGCAGATTCACCTGCTCTGGCCCTACTTTGAATGCCACTGCATGAGGTAAGGAAATTTATTTTATCGAGTGTTAGCGGCCTATTCCAATTCTTCATTTCAACAACATCGAACAAAGAATACAACATTACAACATAGTACTATACCACAGATGATGATGATCCTAAAACTCATTTCAAACTCATTTTTTGTCCGGCTTTATGAATTTTCAATCAAAATGACACTCACATGATCGTCTGCAGGTATGTGGTTAAACGAGTAGAAGTGTTAGTTCTGTTTAGCAACATTTAACGACGACTGGTTTTATTTTGGCAAGTTCATTTTATTTCCTATTTCAACGGGCTTGATCAAACTGAGACAGACTTCAATTTTGATCTTTTCTGACTGCACTGGTGTCATGTATTTGAGGCACATCTGTTTACAGTATGGCAAGAAGGAGCACTGAGTGAAGATGTAGCCTGTCTGCAATGTTAGCATCTTATGCTCAGTAACAGTTAGCTGCATACCAAGGTTGAATTATATACTGTACATGTGCTGGTATGTTTTAACGTTTTCCGTACATGGTACATTGAAGTCCTCCAAAATGTAAATTTTACAACCCACAAAAAAGTGTGTTGGTAATAAACCTGACAAATTTGCATAATTAAAAAGGTGTGTAAAACGGGACTCCAAAATCATACAAAAGCAAGATGCTGTCTCTACTCTTGTTGTGAGCGTGTTTGCTGAGTTGCGCTAAAGTCATGCTCGGCGCATCTGTGAACTACGACCAGCAAAATGGATGCTTCTTTCTGTACCATCTTTCTGATGCCGAAACATCCCTGGCTTTTTCTGTGCCATGACAACGAGACAGTGTAGAGTAGCCAGGCTCGTACGCATTCACATTCGGCAACGAGGCACTCTAAAGCGGTCATGCAAGCAGACTATCCCAGGGAAGATGCATTTTTGTAGTCAAGCTAGCTAACTGCGCCAGATTGCCACTGATACAAAGGTATTCAAGCTCTCGTTTGGTGGTGGAATCGACATAGTTCTTAGCCTTTGCACATGTTTTCAACAATTATCTTAAAACATACACAATGTATTCAGGAACAAATGTCATAATGCAGTTTACAGTGTCTTTATTTTTGAAACTCCAATCTCAAAACAAAGAACTGGTTGTGTTACATTAATTCAAATATCCTGAAACGTTGTCTGTACCGTAAGACAGATTTTACAAGGCGAGTTCTTCTAAACCTTCTAAATGGAAATTTTTATTTGATGACCAGCTTGACAAAACATTGTGGTTGTCCTTTAAACACTGGTGTAAGAGAATAACTTTTCTCTGAACCAAAGTTAGAAGGAACAAGTGGAGCTGAGCTTGAGGCACAACAAGTGGAAGCAGGGTAAACTTCCTGTCAGAGCACAGATCAACATTTGAGAGGGTAAAAAGAGGGAATCGGAATGAATGCATTTATTCACAGCTGCACGATAGCTGCTATCGTGGAAATAAACGTGCAGCTTTCTTCCGCAAAAACAAACACATGACAACAAATCATCAAGCGCTTTTGCAGCAGCGTATAAATAGCAGAGGGGGCAGGACTAAGCCAAGCAGCCAATACTTAATAAAAAATGCATGCACAGCTTGACTATCATGGACTGCTGAACTCGCTCATGTCAACATAGCTATTTTTTATGACAATCTGTTCCTTTTATGCAGCCTGTAAACTGCTTTGCGCATACAGTAACTGCAGTGCAGACACTTTTCCTTGACTGACACCCAGCAAGCACAACCGTCGCGGACAGGATGTGACTCATTTTGGATTCGTGAAGATTCCATTGGTATACAACCTCAACAGCACATAAAAGTGTGTTACTCTGAAAAACACCGGTGCCCCCAGAGGATCCACGGCACTGAGCGAGTTAATGAGAAAAACGAAGGCGTCCCTAAACTCGCTTTTTTAGCTTTGCGGCTAACCAGAAGCTAGTCGCCAAGCTATGTAGCATCAACATCATCCCACAGTGAGTGTCGCCCTGGCCACAAAGCTCAACTTACACACTTACCGGCTTTTTCCTGATCGTATCCCACAACAACAAAGTAGTCAGCCAATCTAGCCATGTCTGCCGCTTTTCCCGAGCTGTGCCAACACAATTCAGCATTTTTCCTGCTTCCAAAGCACAGCCATTTTTGACAGAAGGGCCGTCAGTGCGCATGCGTGGACGAAATCCATGGGCGTGGGTCCGCGAGTTGGCAAATACAAACGCCGCTTTGGCCCTCAAATTGGTGGAACAGCCCGGGATCACCACCTTTTTTGAAACTGAGAGGTACTTTTTGGTTATTGGTCATTGCTCCCCCTTGTTATTAGTTAATAATCATTTGTGTGAAGACACTAATTATGTTAAATATTTCTCAAGGAGGGAAACAATTAAATGGCACTAAGTGACACTTACTCAGAGGGTTGCAGGCATGCTGTAGCGGCATAGCCTATCCCAGGTGTCTTCAGGCAGCAACCGAGGTACACCATGAACAGGTTGCTAGCCAGCCAATGGCAGGGCACACATAGACAAAAAAACATTCACGCTCACAACCATCCCTAAAGACAATTTAGAGTGTTGAATTAACCTACTGTGCATGTTTTGGGAATGTGGGAGAAAACCCAGGCAGGTAAGGGGAGAACATACAAACTCCGCACAGGAAGCCCAGAGCCGGAATCAAACCTTGCACCTCTGCATGGTGAGGTGGACGTGCTAACCAGTTGACCACATTGCAGCCCATGTCATGCAGTGTGGAATTGGCATTTCTAGTGACACACAATCGTTCGATTAGTGCGCTCAAGTGACTTACCAGTACTTGTAAGGACAAAGAGCATCTATGACTACTACATGGGTCTTAAACTGGTTATCATCATTCTGTAGTGTGCCCTTTGTCTTCACTAGTAGGACAAGTTTGGTATACTTTGAGGACAACGAAGTTTTACCAGTGAGGTATAACTGTGTACTAGTTGGCCTCTGTGCTGTATAAGTACTACTGCTCATACTAGTAGTGCGCAACTTGTTTATGTACTATGCATATTTTTGAAATATGTGAGGAAGCCAGAATACCTGGAGAAGTGTTTTATTTTAAAAGTTTATTTATAGAGCCCTTAATCACCAAAGCGTCTCAAAGGGCCTACAGTCCACAAAAAACAACAATATGGCTAGGTCCCGAACACCCCATCCAGGCACCGACAAACACAGAAAACCTATTTAGGGGTGGAGTGATGGGGATGGAAGCGTAAGAACCCTTGAAGTGGCATGAGTGGTCATTTCATGAAATGAATCACCACAAGTAGACTCCTCCAAGGAAGTGGCCCTCCTCAGATTTTCTCCCAGCAGCTCGAAGCAGAATCCTTACAGTATCAGCCGAACTTCAATCATGATCACCGAGTCCCCTCTCCGCTCAGGCGTGGGTTGGGTGTGAGAGAAGAGAAGCGGCAGTTTAACAGGCCAACTGCATATGTCAGGGTGTGAAAGAAAGACTGAATACTCAAGAACAAGGAGAACACGCAAACTCCAAACCTGACAATATTTATATTGTATGTTTTCTAAAAAAAATAGGCATATTGCATCTTTCATTTATTGACAATTATTATAACATATTCAGATGCCCCAACTACTGCACATGGGGCATAATGGACGTCAGTTTTGCTATTCTAACTGTGCAAATGGTTAGCCAATTATATTACAGAACAGAAAAAGTTGTCTCAAACTCAACTGAGGTTGTCAAAAAAAAAATAAAAAATTGCCGGAACACATGAAAGTACAATCGCTACTATTATCTTCAATCTTTCCATGATTTTATGTTCGTCCCTCTCTTTCTGCTGCCACCGCAACGTTTGTTAAAGAAAATAAATATAAATTAAAAAAACAATGAATAAACATGCAGAAACATTTTTGAACTTGAGCCAAAATATGAGGTAATCGACCTTGGATGTTTCATGTACTGCTGATAGTTACCCAAGAATTATCCCCAAAAACGCTCATGTTTGACGGTTAATCAATTAAAAATCATGAATCATCAATCAAAAGCGTGTCCTCAGGCTTCAAGCGCTCTTTTTCCTGACATACAAGGGTGTAATTACACACGTTTCCTGCCACACATACTTTGGAGCTGGCAGTGAAAGACGGGACACACCGTGTCAGTCATCCTACCATTGCCAAAAGATTTCTTTATAAGGAGCCAAAAAGAAAGCCGGTGCTTTACTGTCGTCATTTCACAATTCGAATTGTTGTCTTCCTGTAAGTGCATCACTTAAGGCAACTGTCGTTACTGTTTTACAGCACATGTGTTTGGCATTTGTCTTGTGTCTTGTGTAAAAAGGGTCGAATGTAGTCATAAATATAAAGCTCTGAAGAGCTAGCAGAGGGTTCCCCTTTTTTCCCAGTTCCCGATACTAAAATGAATATGTTTTATTGCTGTATTTATTTATAGAATTTTGAGATGCTGGTGGAATGTCAAGTGTCAGGTTTGCGTCAAATTAGGAAAACATGTCGCAACACATTACCCCATTCGATTCCAAACTCAAAAGAAAAATTCAAAGCTGAAAGGATGACTCCTCTGCGATCGATAAAAGAAATTTATAGTTCACTGGACCTTGGTGAAGAAACCATTCAGAAATTTCTGCAATGTTAAAACCGTCCGGGTTCAACAGCACTACATGTGCTACATTTTGGAGAAAGTACAAAAGAATGACGACAATATGTCAACTTCTCTCTCTCTCTCTCTCTCTCTCTCTCTCTCTCTCTCTCTCTCTCTCTCTCTCTCTTATATATATATATATATATATATACAGTACATACACACAAATGCTGTATTTGTTTACCACATTTTACTGCTTCCTCTGAATGTAATATTTGACATTACTCTACCTTGTTGTTGTTTTTTAATATTCTATTTAAAACGCATCACACAAGTAGAAGCACAAAAACCCGTACAAATGGCAGTATTTATCTATTCCATTTTGTTCTATTCATTGATGAATTCCTGTGCATGCATTCCTCAGGGCAAACGTGTGGCGAAATGATTTGCCAACTCTTTCCTGAAAGCAACAACTCATCCAAATTATTGAAAACATGTCTGGACCAATATTGTTCAAGTTGATTTTTTTGTTACTCTTGATTTATTCTTAGATTATTGTAAAATTCCACCTCACTGTAGTCGGCAGGTTAAAATAAATCAAGGCGTAAGGCGAGTTATTTACCTTGTCCAAACAATACCTTGAGTATATTGGATCTACAGTCAGGCATATTTATCCTATTTATTGACTTGACTAATGCTTCTCTCATTTCAAAAAAAATCACTCACTCTAATTCATCAAGCTGACATGGAACTTCACTGTGTCAAGGAGTGGCATGAAAAGGAGAAAATGGACACACTCCTTCAATTTGACTTGCGAAATTATGGAACACAATCAAATCAACCTTATAGTTCAAATATGACAAGCTACATTTCCCTTGAAGGATATGTTTCAAAAAGTGAGCCAAAGTTGTGAAATTACTTTGGTGTACGTTATGTTTTTTAAATTGAAAAAACGTTCTTCAACTATTCTGTTTTTTTTTTTTTTTTTTTTGCACCACTGGGAGTAGGAGGGGGGGTAAAGGATGAGAGTCAATGAGCCCCTCCCACCTTCTGTATAAAGGCTCCCAGTCTGGTGTGCAGCTATTAGCAGAGTGACACAGCTGCCTTACAGGACCAGTGGCAATATTCCCCAAACCTGTGGAATACTCGTCTATACATCTGACCAGAAAAAGAAGAGCTTTGTTATCCCACGTGAATTCCAGGTATGTGAATTTGATTTTTTTTTTCTTTTTTCTTCATGAGCACCTTCCTACGGTTGCTGCTTTCCCAGCTGATGGCTTTATCCTTGCTTTTTTGAGGTCAGGGCACAAGTGTATAGACAAGGACAGGTTATCTGTCTGGTTATATAAGCAGTTCAGCTCTTAATGTGTGTGCGTTTGTGGCAGAACCTCTTTAAAGGTGTGTGTAGCACGTATAAGATTTTGCTTGCAACATAATAACAGGGCATTTCAATCTCAAGTATTGTTTTTCTTTTTTTTCTTTTTTTTTTAATAGCTTTTATTTTAATTTTATTGTGGCAAGTCTATTTTGGGAGGTTCTATTGGTAGACGCTGTCCTTCACATTATTGGCCATGGGCCCAAAGCATGGTTGTAGGTTTACTTAACGGAGGAAAATGTGACCCGAGCTTAACTTCTCAAATAAATGAATGATAAGTGCAAATAACTTGGCTTTTGGACTCTTGTGTAAGCTTTACTAGTTTACAGGCATACTGTACTAGTGACACAGTAGGGAGTTTGAAAAGTTAAATTGTAATGTGCGTGTGATATTGCAAATGACTAACTAGATGTTGCCTTGCTTCCACAGGAGGAAAAATGAAACTAATCTTCCAAGCCTTCCTCTATTGCTGCCTGGTGGCCACAGCAGCACACTGTATGGAACTTGAAGTGAAACCCAAGTTAAAAAAGAGGTGAGTTGATTCATCTGTCTTTCACGTGCACTCGTAAAAGATAGGGTTGATTGTCGAGACGACAGTTGTCAGAATGATCTGCCTTAAGACTAATGGCTTTTTGCCCTCCTTCATTTAGGCTCAGCATATGGCTCGGGAGCAGACTCAGACGGGATCTGGACAGCAAGACTGCAAACTCTGAGCACTTTGTCAGGCAAGATGACATCAGGGATACCATGCTGCCACATTCCAGGTATATACCTTCAACTGAAGCCACCAGTTGCCACTGAAATGCATTTGTCAGAGAAATAAGGATTTGGAATCAACCTCCCTGTGTTTCTCCTGCAGCACTGAAACCCATGTGCGAACCAAGAGGTCCAAAAATTCTGCCAACCAGTCAAGACGGCAGGGTTGTTATCTGGGGACCTGCTCAGTGCACGACCTGGCGCACCGTCTGCACCTTCTCAACAACACGCTGAAGATTGGCAGCGCCCCACCTGTCAAGATCAGCCCACAAGGATACGGCCGCAGACGTCGCTCCCTACCAGACCGCAGAGTCGCACTGAGACTGGAGCAGGGCAGGCTCAGGCCTGTGTGGAGCACCACTGACTCCCAAGTCCATAAGCTTGAGGCTCTGCTCAGGCAAACATGAATGGAACTTTGCAAAAAAGAAGAACGAAAGCCAAGGCAGTCGAAGAGTTCGCGCACTCTCCGCTCTGTTCACAAATTCTCCAAATGCCTCAGATTTGCCAAGTATTCTCCAGAATCTTTCCAGGACTGGGGACCAGGTCAGAGCAAGACTGTCTGCACTGAGTTTCTTAAAAGCGCTGAGCCCCGCTGCTCAGTGATGTGGAGCTGCAAACACTGGATGGAACAGCATGGAGCAACAACAGGTGCCGCTCTCTGCTTGGCACTTGGGCGACCCCAAGAGTGTTGCTTCCTACCGAAGTGAGCGGACTTACCCTCTGGTGTAAAAGAGCGAAGTCTCACACTTCCTCCTCCACTTTGATAAGTGCTGTCCAATGTCCTGCAAGGAAAAAAAAAAAAAAAAAAAAAAAACTGTGAGCACTTTTCCATTTGGACTCTAATGAATGATCAGGAGAAGATGATGTGCATCACGATGCCAAATAAGGGGATAGATGCTCTCAGCCTTTATCAAGTTTTGGGCACTGTATAAAGGAAAATGAATGCCTTAGATTCTGTGAGTTATGTGCAAGTCCACAGTGGATTGAAATATACTTGAAGTTGTTATTTGTACAAAAACACGTGCAATCTATATTTGTGTGTTTTTTTTTTAATTGGAGCATATGTATATAGGAATTCATTTATTTAATATTATATAGAATTTACATTTAAATACACATAGAACTATTTTTGTACAGAAAGGAATATACGGTATATGGGCATTGTATTCTTTTACAGAATGTGGTAACAAGATAACTGTTTTATTTGGTATATTATATATTTGTAAATGTTCTCTATTTTATTTGTGTTAAAGCAATAATATTGTCATGTAATAAAAAAAAACAAACTTGCAAACAAAACCCTGACTTTGTCCCGACTTCCTTTTGCTCCCGGCCGTCGTAAATTCCAGCACAAGTGGCGCGGTCTATTGTCTAGAATATAGCAAGACAGGCAGCACCTGGTCTCTGTTAAGTGATTACAGACTCTCATTAGAGTTTCCCTCGTCTCACTACATTCCCTCAGTTATGACCTCCCACCTCTGCAGCCCCTTCTTTTAAAAAAAAGGGCAGACAGGGTGCGAGGTGCATTCCTGCTTGATTCAGCTCATATTTGTTGACTAAGCCATCTCAGAGCCGCCTCGGGATGCTGAGGCTTTAGCTTCATTGGTAAAAGATGGCTAGAACAGAAGTAGAAGGATGTGGTGGTGTGATGGGGGGGGGGCTCTCACATTCCCGAAGGAGCAAACTGCTGGTCATTCCGTTCATATTTAAGCAGCCAAAGAATAACCAAAAGGGCCGCAGATCTCATTTATTGCCAGCAGAGTTATCCAAAATGTTTCCACTGGGGGGCCACATGTAGAAAAATGGAAGGAAGTGGGCCACGTCACCCTGTGTGTAGGAAACATGCTGAAACAAATCCAGCTCTGTCCGCTTGTACACTGTGGATCAACATATCATTAGCCTGATAGCATAGCGGCCAAAGTCATTTTTCGGGAATGCATTGAAGGAATAAAAAATGTATGATTGCTATTTATTTTATTTTTTTATTGCTGACAAAGCATGAAGTTGTTAGAAATATTGTGATATCTTGTAACAATCAACATTTTTGTGTGTTTAAAAAAAACTTGATAACTTTTTCAAAAAATAATTTCATATTCTAATGTGGGCTTTGTTTAAATTTAATATTAGAATATCAGCAGGCCAATAAAAAAATGTGAAAGGGGTTTCTGGGCCAGACCTTGGACACTACTGAACGTCACGTAAAATAAATACACAACAGCATTGACTTCACGTAAATATGCTATTCTCTAGTCTACACCACTTATCTATTTCAGGGTAGCGGGGAGTTGGTCAGGCAAATGAACCACGAGATATATAAATAATGTTTCTTATTGTATTTTATTTATCAAAGTAGTCGCAGCACGACCATGGTCATAGACCATGACAACCCACTGAGGTCATCCAGAAGGTAAAAACATGCTATCGCAACTCAGGGGGTCATTAAATGCTATAGGGTCAAATGAACATGATAAGGTCGTGTTTTAATCATTGCATATCGTTTTTGAGATTGGTTTGTGTATGGTGAAACATTTCAATTCAAGGGTAGTGTTTCTCAACTTTTTTTTTGGTATGTGTAACCCCTAAAGTTTATGTCGTACCATGAGTAAAACCCAACCTAAACTCTCTTGCTTGGGAGCTGTCCCCACGCCTATCACGCTTCTACTATCGGTTCTGAAGCACAGCATATTTATTTGAATTAGAATCACAGTTGTATTGCTGTTGATTTTAAAAACATCTGCTGGAGATGTTCTTTGATTTAGTTGAAGATACAAAACCAAAAAATAGATGATCCGAACATGCAAGTGTGACAGTGTGTGACCTAGTTATAACTTCAATTACATATCCTCTATTGCCATCTAGTGTGTAAAACCTCTTACAACTTCAAAATTGTCACATTTCTAAAATTTTGGCTATGATCTATACATGGAATTAAAAATCTAATTTGTCAAACAGGTATATGTATACAGATTCCATTTTTGAACTTTTTCACCTCACCTCCTAAATTCATAGGACTCAACAGTAGATTGCATCTATTGATCACCAATACAAAAAAATGTTTCTCTCCGGTCGTAATAATGCTTGATTCTTTTCGAAAAGAGTTCTTGTTCACCCCCATTTTTCCTACTACTGTATTCCAGATTTCAGCATAGTCAATCTACACTGCAGTATTTTGAGAGTTGTTACTATATACTGTGTTTCCCAACCTTTGTTGAGCCAGTGCACATAGTTCACATCGGAAAACAATCTCATTATGGGACACCACTTAGCAAATCCATTCACATATATAGGAAACACAGGTTGATTATGAAATTGCCCCCCCCCCCAAGAAAATCGAGAAAATTAAAAAAAATTTAATCCAAATAATTGACATTAGATAATTTCCCGTGAAACACCTGATCTCTCTTGGCACACTAATATGCCAGGGCGCACTGGTTTGGGATTACTGTACTAATATTGCATCCAAACCTATCGTAATTTTTGCTAAATGAGAGCAAAACATTCAAGACTTTTCTCATTATAATGCTGGACAGTACAGTTCTATAGACTATTGTATTTTTTATGAAGGCATTTCATTAGTGTTAAAACAAAGCATAAATTGTACTTATAAAGACATTCATTTAATTAAATAGCATCCGGGTCTCATTATATTGTAAAGTACAGGACTGGTAAAAACACAAAATCTAAAACTAGCTAGTTAATAGAGCGACATTCATCTATATTTCAACACTAACTGTGGCCTCAAGTGTTCGTTCGTGTGAATAGTAGATGGGTAAAGGTGTGCCATGTTTAGACTCAATTAACCTGGATGTGGCCTAGTCACCGTACTCGAATAAAGTGCACTAGTCACTGCTTCGAGTAAGCCAATGAGCTGATGATGCTACTTGTGTGTCACAGCACAGAGTCGCCGATCCGGGCAGGTCAACCTGCATGTTCAGTTAAGTTGTTAGTTCGGTCCCAGTGGCCCTTGCACATCCCATCCTGTTGACTTGGGCCTCCTGTCTCCTTATCTTAAGTCAACAGTCTCAAACTTGGGCCTTAAACTGGACAGTGATTTCAAACTTGACCGGCAAATTGGTGCCATTGTTAAATCCAGCTTCTTTCACCTTAGACAGCTGGCCAAAGTAAAACCTCTCCTCTCTCATGAACACTTTGAGACAGTAATTCATGCCTTTGTCACATCCCGGCTCGATTACTGCAATGCCCTTTACTTTGGAGTCAGCCAGTC